GTCATCATCAGGTGTACATTTGCTGTTATATTAAAGTTTTTCTTCATTACCCATTCAAGCCGTCTCCAGCCATTATTAGTCTCAAAGTGGGTTCCTCGTCATCGAATTAGTACAATAAACAGTAATTTGGATTTTAAAACAATCTTCCTATGTAGATAAGAACATAACATGCAATAATTTGTGTGCTCTAGAGATTGAATAAAATTCTGAAATTTGTTTTTCAATTTTAACTATTTCCATTAACCGCTATTTTCTGACTTTAGTTTAGAAAATTCTTAACTAAGGTCTTGTTAGTTACATTATACATGTTAAAACATCAGTTTAATAGGAGGTAACCAAAAAGCAAATGTAAGAATATAAAGAAGCAAATCCTCACCTGTGTATACACAAGAGGAATGCTAATCCAGTCAAAACTAAATAACATTCCACAGTTTCCACGAAAAATATGCAGTTCCTGTAAGAACAAAAAAATACCATTTCATTAGATTTTAGCAACATGGAGAAAAGGCAAACAAACTGCACCTACATAAACACGAGTGAAATGATGATCCAATCATAATTAATTAACATTCTTCAAATCACCCTGAACATATCCATCAACTGAAAAACAGTTATGCTGTAACCTCAGAGCTTATCTTAAACATTTATAAAACAACTTATAAATTATATTAAAAACACTTGAAAACAATGTAGCATTCACACAAAATTGTTAAAACATAATTCAACAAAACATCTAGATAACCAAATTGCTTTATTATGGTCAATCTTTCAGAAGCATTTGCCCTAAAGAGTTTCTGCAGTTGTGCACATGACTTAAATTAAAAATAAGGCCACAGAACCATAACAGGTTAAAACTTTGAAATACAGAGGATACAAAAATCATTAATGTATTTAAAGTAACCCTTTGGTGCTCACGTAAAGGTTGGATGAATTTGGATTATTAACTAATGACCATTTATTTTAACCTCAATCACAAATTAAGCCATCACGTTAATAAATGCTTTACATGATACAAATAAAACTAGCCTTCAATGTTTGGTAATGATGAAATCCTTGAAAAACTCTTTCAAGATAACAAATCAGATATTATTACTTAACCAATAACGTGCTAGACACATACAAGGACTAATATCATTTCATAACTTAGGCTTCTTCATTATAAACACCTATTCTAATATTGACAAAAAAAATTAGTAATTTCATTTACACTTATATGTCTAACAATAAACAAAAATTAATTAATTAAAAATATCACAAATATGCAAGCAAGTTGTACATGAATGTGAATACAATCTACAAGATAATTTCTTAAAGAAGACTTACATTCAGCAGATCACTCAGGAGAACATCATCTTTAATTCTACCCTCCTTCCTTGCACGCGTGGCCAAAGCCGTGAACCACTGAGCTGGAATCCACCACTTCCCATGAACAACAGAAATCTCTTCATATACAGTGCGTTCTTCCTTGGTCATCAGACCTAGAAAATATCATAATGTAGTCTATCACAGTAAATACAAAATATACTAAAGGATAATTAAGAAACTTTTTTTTTTCTATTCACCTTTCATGATAGGAGTAGTGGCCGTTAATGCATATATCAGATTTATCTAATTGTTTTGTGAGCAAAGATTTGGATTTGTATATTACTGCATGCCATGAACTAACAAAGGTTACCTTACATTAGTATTTCATCTTAGAAATATAATAAAATAGTAACAAGGCTATCAGCATAGGTGACATTATACAAAGCTGGGAGTATTTCATGGTGACAATAATGATTTAATTATATGTTAATGGTTAATATATACAAACTATATTTTTTGTTTCCTTCAACTATTTATGATATATATGCAATGCTTTCAAATAAATGGTTCTTAGGTACAGCTTATATCTGATAAATAGTTATTAGGATCCACAATACAGCAGATTCCAGAAATGTTATGCAGAGAATAAATTGAACATGGGCATCAAAGGAAAAAAAAAAAAAAAGTGAAAAATACAACAAAACAAACCTTTATTCACAAAAATGCCATTGTTAAAACAATATTGACTAGCTTCAGTATTGGATAAGGACAAAAAAATGGTATATCATGCATTCAAGTGATACAAAGACCCTAGTGCAGCATGCAACAACCCTTAGATTATCTACACAATTGACTATTCCAAATAACACCCAATTTATACAAGTACCTGTTTTACTTTTTGAGACAGGCTTACTTCAGCCCAGAAAGTGAACACAGACAAAGAGTCAAACTGGCACAAGCTTCTACAAAATAGATATTACTGTATATAACTTTTAACTAAGCAATGAGATTAGTACATGCTTACAACCTTTCAACATCCTGCTAACCCTATGCATACAGAATGGTCATTGCATGAAAGTCACAAATATTTTATAGTTAAATTAAAAATTTAATTAAACTACTTTATTTTCAATGTATATTAATAAACTTGGGATCAAAATGTAGTTTATAATTCACATTTTTATATCATCTAAGTTTTAATTTTTTAAACTTTAAAGAAATTCTCAATTTGCAACTCTTAGCCGCATGATGTGAAGGCACTAAGGCTTCTCATTTATATTTTTTTCTTTGTTTATAAGGGCTTCAGATTGTTTAAACAACTTGAATCACATACTATAGATATTGCCAAGCCAGAATATGAAATTTTAACTTCTCATCTTCTTGCTTTAATAAGATAACACTAAATTTATTCAACTCACATTGACAAGCCTCTCCCATATTATCTGTCTTTTAAGAAATGTCTATAACTCTCTCTGACATAACTATTGGACATGTTTATAACCAACAGAAAGAGCAAATCATAAACTGTATAAAACAGATGATTGCCTGTTTTGTTTGAGTAGTAAAAACAGGTATTTCACTGTGAGAGCTTGACACGTTTAGACTAAAGACACTGCTCTGAGCAGTAATGAAATTTTTAACACAGAAAAATTATAGTATTTTTGAGGCATTCTATTTTAGATATTCATCTAGGATCTTCTAGTTAAGTAGATGAAATATGAAAACTATAAGATGAAAAGAAGTATTTTCAATCTTAACATGAAAATCATCTTTCACTAAGATTGACTCAGTGAATACTTCTTAAGTTCAGACAAATCTTAGGTAAAAAATACCTTATTAAAAAAATACAGTGTGTTCTGTACAACAAACTCGTAATATTTACAAAAGCTTGCAAATTCTGTGAAAATGCATTTACTATATTCCTAGCTATAATATGTATAGTTTCATGGTTACATTGTCAGTCAAATTGACTTGCACATATGCATAGGGTTAACAGATTAACAAAGATGTCATTAGCTACAAGCAGAACATATATATAAAATTACAAAAACTACTTGAACATTCCATACAAGATGTGTATACTAAGATAGTGTGGAAAAGATGAAATTCAATCATTTCAACTGCAACATATATACATAATACCTTACTGTTCTACACATTATTTTTAACTATTTCAAGAAGCAGCAGGGGACACTGGGTAGACCTTTTACTGGGAACCAAAATGAAGCAGGGGATTGATTGACCAGCTATTGGGATCTGAGCATACATTAAGAGGTTGGCCACTCCTCAACAACCACCAAGCAAACACACATAAATATGTGGTAAGTACTTTGCATGTTCATTCTATATTGTCCAAGATGTTTCATGAGAAAAACAAGTGGAAAGGCTTGTGTTAGGGAATTCAATGATTAGTATAACAAACATCTTTGGAAAGGAATGATGCAGCCCCAGCCAAATACAGACTGGTGGATTTGTTGTCTGGCTGATCCAGAAGATCAGTCACAGTCATGATTGGATATGATCAAAAATGGAAGGTTGAGAGAAAAGACCCCTTTTACTTTGGTGATATTTTGTCACCCCCCCCCCCAGAGCTGGTTTAAATCAGGATGCTTGGTTACTGATGCACAGAAGAATTAAGAGTAAGCTGCTGCTCTCCTGTGGGTTAAGTTTGTTTCAAATATGAAGAAGACACCTGGGTGGAGAAAGATGCATCTGACTCTGTTAGTAGGGTAAATGCCACAGAGATCCAGTTGTGGAGGTATCCAGAGCCATTAAGCCTGATGTACTTGTATGCACTGAACATCCATACTTTTAGACAGCCTATCCTATGACCACTGTTGTCTATGATCTCTATTTGGTTCATAACATCTTAAGCGAGGTTGACAAATATGCAATGATGAAGGCAGAAACCATACCTCATACTCTCAAGGCACTTTCTGCATTTACAACTGCCAAAGCCACAAAAAACAAGCTGATCAGGTGTGGGCACAATGAAGCTTAATGTGTCTCCTTCACAAAAACACCTAGCTAGCAGATTGCCATAAAATGATCTTAAGGAACAAAACCTCCCTTTGCTTATTATGGCTGACATAGAAGGTGCCACCAAGTAAGCTTATCATATGATATACTTGCAGCAGCCCTCCAGTTCCACAAGTTGAAGAAAAATTGGGCCTTGTATCAAAATACCCTTATACTGCCTCATAGTATGAGGTCTACTCAGCTACCCTGCTATGCCAGGCCATTAAAAGATTGGTTTTTTTTATAAATGTCCCAATTTTTTTCCTAGCAGTGGCAGCTCCCAATATGCTTACTACATAATATACAGGTAATCATTTAAAGGATCAGTAAAGAGGGCCACCCCAGCACACACAGATGATGCTCATGCTCCACTTAGGAGTTGGTAAGGGTGTTACCCATCTCCTAAAGCCCATGCCAGCTCCTAACAAAAGGGCTACCCAGCTCCCATGCTCCACGAATGGAGGCTTCTAGTAAAAGGTCTTACTCACCCCCCCCCCCCCAAATGATCAAGTTATCTAGAATATTGCATAGTTTTTAATACTTTGCATAGCACATACAGTAATGATTGAAGGTAGTGTCAAATTTCATCCATGTTACATAAGGTTGTTGTAATAATTAAGTCTGTGACAGTGATTTGTCTTACAATTTGACACCTTGATGGATCAGAGAGTAGGATACAGGTCTTGTAAACAAGAGGTTCAAATTTCAAAGACAAGTTTAATGGAACTTTTGTTGTTTATTGTAAATGTAAAAGTTATTTTAATTAGCTTGTAATGGTTAAGTTGTAAACTAAGGATCAGCCTGGAAATGAGTTTTAACCTATTTTTGAATCCATTTGAGACTTAACAGCATCCTGTGAACTGATGGTTAATAGATGTAAAAGGAAGTTTTGTCTTATAATAATGAATATGTATCTCATAATAATGTTGTTAAATTTTAGAACAGTTTTAGCAAAACAAAATTTTTTCGTAGGTCAGATTGACAGACAATCAAAGAAAATAAGTTATTAAAATGTTTACCTGCTTCCTCCACATGGTCCAATGTAGGGAAACGTTTTTTAACTGCAGTGCTCACTGCTTGGAAGGACAATACTGACAGCAGGCTTAAATAACGAGCAAGTGTACGACGAATCAATCTTCCTCTTTCATCTCTGCCATGAACATATGCTGATATAAGCATGCAAGGCCTGCGATAAATTTAATTTCAATAAATACATATAATTTCTATAATGTAACGAAATAGACTTTTAAAATGTGTCAGCCTTAACAGCATACTCAACAACAACTTCAAAATACTTTTTAAAACTATTTCCCTCATCACAAACAATCAGTATTATATAAATATTTTTCAAAACAAATCAGTCTTTCATAAAGACAATGTATTCACAATGTATTTTAATGATACTGTAAATTAAGATGTGTATTGATGAATGTACAAAAATGTTTTAAGTGATAATAAATACTTTCTATATGTACTTTCATATTTTCTACATTCAAATTTCATATTTTAAATTTGTATTTTCACTTAGAACTCAAATCCACAGATTTTCTCTACTATAACTATTAGCTATTCTGAATATTCTCCAGCTCTTTCATCTTCCAATCACAAGTTGTTTTTACACATTGTACAGACTAAAAAAAAAATAAATCATATGTGGCTGATGTTGAATTCACTAGGATTCTCCATAAACATGACAAACCACATTATCTTATCACAGGTATGAGCTTCTCAACTACGCAAATGTGAACCAGAAAGAGAGAGACAGATATCAACAACAAAAAAACCATAAAATCTTTATCTATAACAAATAAAGACTGCAGCACTAAAAATATTCCAACTATTATTTCTTCCATTCGTATAAAACTCAAAATGTGACTTTTTTATTGAATCCAGGGGTTCATGATTCATGTCCCATTGCCTAAAAATGCACAATGCATATTAGACCATGGGAGCACTAAAAGTGACTACCATATCTCATTACTCAGTCAGACAAGAGAAGCTCAAAAGTTAGCACTGGGTGCTGTTGATTAGCTGCCTTCCCTCTAATTTATAAGTTCAACATTAGGAATAGCTATGCAGACATTGCATTTGTGTAGCTTTGCGTGAAAATTCAGAAACAAACAAAATGATGACATTTTACATTTCCTTAGAAAAAAACTTACTGTTGAAAACATCAAGTTTAGAAAAAAAAAAATCTCTAGTATATGTTTCAGATAAACAGACAAATAACCCTAATGCAAAACAAGAATCACATGTCATGTATGACTTGACCTGAAATACTCGCATGCATTATACAATAACCTCCAACAATTTTTCTAATGAATGATAGCAATTGATATAGGCAGGATGAGGGATACCATACCACTTATTTTCAGGAGGGCCTGAAGCCATCCTGCTATCTTTTAGTATTGTTATAAAAGATAATGAATAAGGATCAAGTTAAGAAAAGATATGAAAAATTTATCTTCATTCATAAAACAATCAAATGAGAAGTAAAAATGTATTGAAATTTTTAATGAAGAGTAATTAGCATAATAATTATAATGCTCTTTTACACAATATGCAAGAGCTAAAAATTTAATTTTTTTCTGACATATAGCACTGGAATGTACTATACATTTTCCACCCTTTTAGTTACAAAGTAAAATTTTCCAAATTATGTTGTTCTTCATAGCTCCTCAGACAGAATACAGAGGAGTTCAAGTGAGTTTCTAGCTTTCACCTTCCTTAAGAAACTAACTGGGGATTAAGTGCCTTCTCATCCGTGGTTTTAAATTATCAAGATGAGTCATTATTGTTGACGATTCAGATAATAGCTGCAGGTGGGCTTGCTCTTGACCTTCATTGCTCACTGTTTTCTTGTATCAAGAAGATAAGGGTTTTATGACACATTTAAAACAGTGTAGGAGTCTAGTCTAAGAGAGTAGGTTTTCACATAGAATTAATGAAATTTGTTTTACACACAATGTACAAAATTTTAACACAAAACTTGCACAGATTTTGACATGTGAGTTAAACAGTATTTTTCCAGTTTTTCCATAAAAAACCTCTATGTGAAACTCTTAAAGTTTTCACTTTAGATTTCTGGTAACAAGTTATTGTATTTTTCCATTATTTTACTCTCTAAGATCTCTTCAAGTTCTCTCACAATATTAAGAGTTAAATTTCATTCACATATGTGCAGGACAGTCATCTGGCTTTCACTTTTAATTTAATTGCAAGCTTTGTATAAGTTGTTTCATGGAATAGCAGATCATAGGTTTATAGCTTCATAGAGGTTAAAGTGGGGGTTAACTTTATTGTTTCGCACTTTAACTTGAGTACAGTCACTGTTAGTACATATTGTTTATACTTACCCTAAATTACAGGGGAAAGAACATGCACTAGCAAGAACTAATTTGTCATTTAAAGTCTTCATTGCTGTTGCTAGTCCTAAACCCAAGATCTGACAACCTCCATCCAGTTAATAGCAAGTCTAGTTTTTAAGCTTTGTTAGTGCTATAGCCAAAGCATCTTGTGGTTGAGTAATGTAAGGTAATGAGGAGAAGGGTGAAAAAACACAAAAGCTTATTAGTATAGATGGTATTCCCTACATGCCGAAATGTGTATGCTCTGTTGGAGGATAAGCCATGAGCTGAGGGAGGGTGGTAAGTATGGTGGTCATCTCCAGGGAAAGCTTTTTCCTGGATGTGGGATTTTCACAGTTGCTGTAAAGATCCCTTGCAATCATCTCTCTGCAGCTGCCAACTCATGAGACTGAGGAATGAGGGGCCATCTGGAACACCCAAAAACCCTTATGAAGCTCTTCCCATGAGGTTAAACCTTGGTATTTGAGCCTGTGTGATGAAGAGTCACAGATGAAAGACAACGGTGATGGATAAGCTCTACCACAATGAGATGTTTGGCCAACAAGCAATGTGGGTGATAAGTGCCTCAAAGGTTAGAAAGCCACTATGAGAAGAGAGGTACTCAGATGCCACATCAGTGAGAAGAGAGGCACCATAAAAGATGCAATTCTGAATTTTGAGTAAAATTGCGAGTAATTTCCTATGTGTCAGTGCTCAAGGCTCTCCAATTGTACACTACATTGAATATACTATCATGTATTATTATACAGTGTTTAGTTGGATCAGAAAAGTTTAAATTATTCTTTGTTTCAACAAAACAACATCACCAAAAAATCCCAATTCAATATTTAAAGGTCTCCATGACTACAAAGATCTTTAATCTATATACAGAAATCAAAAAAGACTAGGTGATTGCATACAAAAATCTAATATATAAAGATCGCCGACCTGAAATTTTCAGAAAAACTGGGTGGTTACAATCAAAATTCCACACATGTGAGAAAAATAATCTAGCCAATGTTTGTAGGAATTTGAAAGATCTGGATGGGTACATACGAAACTTTGTATATACAGAAGAGAACCCCAAAAGAACTGGATTATTACATGTTAGATCTTGGTAAAGTTAAAGTTCAACATTTGCAAAGTTTACAAATGAATGTAAATCCATACTGTAAAGGAAATTTTTAATATAAAAATGGAAACCTATTGCACAACAATTTTTCAAAGTTAATATTTTCTTAAATTGAAATTTTATTTCCAAAACATACTTACCTCCTCTCACACTACAGCTGTTACTTTACTGCTAGGGTTTCTTTCCCTATCTAAGCACTGGTCTGATTTTTTCTTGCTTGCTCCAGTCTTTTATTCCTCGCTTAATTGCTCTTGGCAAAATCTGTCTTGTGACACTCTCCACCTATGCCAATACACCCTCTATCCTGGTACTATATATAAGCACATCCTTCAGATAATATTGTTACTTTTTCAAGACTGATCCAATCTGCAGTCTCTAACACTGGCTCTTAGTGGAGAAGAGGGGGTGGGAGAGTGTGACAGAAGGTAAGTATGATTGGAAATACATTTTCAATTTAGGAAAATGTAAACTTCCAAAACATACTTATCTCTGCTCATGCTACAGCTAAAATAACACATTGATAAGGTGGAGGGACCAGTGAGGGCATTGGCCATATAAAATGCATCTGTATAGATCATGGGTGTACCAATAGAAGATTGGCACCATAGTGGGGAAACTGCACTAAATCCAGAACAGGTATGCTCTTCACCCGGAACCTAAATCATCTGATACAGGTGGAATTTGATGTGATCTGTCATCACCATTGGCCAGGCCTCTACCTGAGGTCCCACTGTTCAGGATTGGAATTAGAGAGCCAAAGCCCCTAAATCTCACATTAGTGGCTAGGGCATTTGGACCACAATAGATATATTTGTGAGTGGATCCTAATTTGTAGCTATAGAGTGATGCATTCCAAGCCACTGGAATCGTGACAAGAAAATAAGCAACATCGAAATGAATTAACCCTCTCTTCAACCTAAAGAAGTACAAAAGGCAACACCCCAAACTCACAATGAAGGGATCCTATATGCCATACCAAACCTGAAAAAACAGAACTTATCCGATCTGGAATTATGAACACTCATACTCACTCACCAATTGTGTGGGTAAGAAAAATTCCACTTGCCCCCAAAATTATGAGTAGGACATGGAACAAACAGGGCTCAGCCAAAGAACCAGGATGGGACTACTCTGTGTTCAGAATTGTGAAAAGAACATTGGATCCTCTTCCATGAACAATGTACTGAACCAATATTGATCAAAAAAAGAAGGGCCACAATCAACCCAACCGGATAACCAAGCGTCAAATCTGAACTGATATTATGAGTAAACTCCCACATAGGCTGGTGCCTCTGCTACTGACATCTGGGAAAAAACATCCAGGGATGTGTGTAGAAGGGAAATTTGCTCTAGCTCTCTGGAGGAAAAGTCTCTGTCCGCCACCCCAGTGACTGAAAACTGGGTGTGGTAAGAACTCCCTGGCTCCACTACTAGAATCTGGTGGTAATGCATGTTGGGAATTCCTCAGGAACAGTGCTCTGGAAACAGTGCAATAGGTGAACTAAGTTCCCTAAATTATTAAAAGCAAATTGACCTGGATTTGTTTAATCCAATGATCGGCAGGGACAGGCAAGATACCCTAATGCTTTATTTATGAGATTTCATGAGTAGCTGTCCAGCATAGTACAGTAATACCACCCAATCAGCTTACAGGTGGACTTATGGAACACCTCATTTCTACAGAGCCTGTTGCAACCTAGATAAAGT